TTGGCCTTTGGAGCCGGGTGCCAAATCGTAAAGCCCGCACCGAAAATGCCAAACGGCAAATAAACTGCAAACTTATCGGTCGGTATCAGTTGAAGATTGTAAAACCAGCAAACAGCAGAGCGAATTCCAGCCCATATGGGCGCACTGAAGGTCTCGCCAGTTGGATATTATTGTTTGCCTTTCGGTCTGAAGATAATTCCGGTAAAGAAGTCTTCTCAAAATACACATGCATATACATACATATATATATATAAACTAATTAATACACATTTATTTTTAGCGCTGATAATATACGGCTGGGGAGTCATCATCAGCGCTAAGCGAAAGAGGAGCAAAAGCAACGGGCCGTGTCGAGCCTTTCACTTCCCCCATCCCCCCCATCCCCCCATCCATGACATTCAAATGGAAGTTCCCCAACGGGGACGCCGCCAACCTGTTGCCAGACCCAAGATTACTCCAGACACACACACGCAGCCACGCAGACACATGCCGCATAATCCTCAATCTGCGTCATGGCATGGACACGACAGACAGCCTTGGGGGAATGTAATGCAAACTTTCGATACAGTTTTGGACACCTGTACTTGGGTCTGTCTGGAGTTGGGGTTGGGGTTGGGGTTGGGCTATCTGAAACCACCTGTCATCATCGTCACACTAGGCGAACGGAACGGCTTAACCAGGAGCACCTGCCACTGCCACTGCCACTGGCACTGCCATTGCCTTCTATTCACCAGTTAACTAAAAGCATTTCCTGTATGCCAGACACCCCACCCAATGGGAGATGTACAGTGCTGCAAGGCCTATTCAATTGGGGAGGCGCCACTTCCCCCCACAGGCAGTCACAGGAATGATTATTTGCAGAGGCAATCTGCCTGTTTAACGCGGGAGAAAAGTTTAAATCTGCCTCTTCTGCCCAGATCTAGCCACGACGGGGGGGCTGCCATCCGAATGAGTTGCTCACCACTGTGATGGCAGATGACAAAATCAAATTCTAATCATCGTTGCTATCTTAATGTATTTATGAGTGTGTGTACACGGTGCAGATTGTATGGGCTGTACACAGGCCTGTGTGGGGTGTGCTGCCTCCTACACATATAAATGTATGAGGTGTGTGTGTGTGTGTGTGTGTGTGTGTGTATGTATGTATGTATGTATGTTTGCCCTGATAATCGCACCTGCGAGGGCAACACTAATTACAACAACAAACCCCATGGCAAATACAATGGAACCGTATTCCCCTTATCAAAAGAAGTCGAAGAAGCGCCAGAACGGATTACCGAATTAATTGTTACCCTCTGCATCTGCATTATCCATTGTTATTTTTATGAGCCTGGAAATTGTTTTATTCTCTTGGCATTATCTCAGTGGAGCTCTGAAAGAAATAAATAATTAAAACATAATGTTGCTTCTATTTTGGTGCATTTGAAACGATATTTAGAAATGCAAATGGGCTAAGGGGCGATTGGCAGCTATATTATGATATAGTCCACCCCGATTTCGATGTAGTTTTGCTTAAACTATAATTTAGTAAATATAATTGGAAATATCTTTGAAGGGAAGAACAGTTTTCAAATTTTTTTTTTTTTTTGGAACGGGAAGAAGAAAAGTCAATAGATTTAGATGCTTCTTAATTGAAAACAGTTTTTGCAACGGTTCTTAGCCCATCGACAAGTTTTTCGATTGTTCCTATGGCAGCTATACAGCTACATACATACATATGTATATGGTAAAGTGATCCGATTTGAATTGAATTTTTCGGTGAATATTGAAAAATCACCAACAAAATCTTTGGAAGCAGTTTTGACCAAATGTTCTTCTTCGGAAACCTACACACACATACATATATGTATGTACTATATAGTGTACCGATCTTGTGGAACTTGTTATAGGGGGGCAGCAACAAAACACTGACCTATACCGATACGCTGCTGTGAATGCTCCTGCTGCTCCTGCGCCCTCTTTTGGATCGTAATAGGAGGTACACTCTGCAGCAAAAAAGGGTATCAATTGAAGCGCAAAATTCCAAAATAAATAACACGCACACACTGACAACGAGGGGGGAGCTTCGCTTCATGGCCCGTGTACATATACATATGTATATCGCGTATAATAAATATATCGCACCGGCCAACAGCGCCCCCGGCAGCCGGCATCGGTGGCGCATGTAAGTGTATTTTTATGTACCAGACTGTCGCCCAAAGGGGCTCCCATACACACACACACACACACACACACACACACATAAATGTACCTGCATGTATTAGTGTTTGTCCCTGCCTGTATTGGTGTGTGTATTTGAGAGAGTTTCGTTTGTATTCTGGTGTTTAATACTATAATTCACAAAATCGTTCGGTTCAGTTCGCGCTGGTGAACGTAACGGAAAAGTCGAGTCCGAGTCGAAGTCGTCGCCGCCTGTTGAATGCTAAAAAAAATTCTATTTACTTCGCTCGGCTTCATATACTATTTACATTCTTTTTGATTTTGTTTTTGTTTCTGTTTAGTTTTTGTTTTTTTTTTGTTTTGCATTTGTTTTTAAGTATTTGTTTTTGTTCTTAAAACATTTTACATTATTCTAAAGCGCGAACAAAACAACAAACAAGAAAAACAGCAACAGGCAGCAGGCAGCAGCAGTGGCAGAGGAGGCGGCAGTGGAAAAGTCAAGCGACAAAAACAGAAAGAAACGTTCAACAAAAATAAAATCGTACGGCCTCAAATATATACATATATATACATATGTATGTATGTATGTAAAAATAAATATATATATATTTAAATGTGTGCATGATCATGTGTGTGTGTGTGTGTGTGTGTTAACATTTGTATTTTAATTTAGTAGCAATTAACACAAAAGCAACGCAACTAAATAAGCGCGCGCTTTCCTCGGGCGACACGTGCACAAAAGCGAAAACATTCAAACGGAAATCTATAGATAAATATCTACAGATAATACAGATACAGATACATATGTCTATGCTACAGTGGAGGCTTGCTTTAGCGAACATTACTGGGAGCGCTCCCAGGGGATAACTGGTGTAACTTCATATCCATAGCTATAGGTGGAAATTCTACCAAAAGAGCTATAAAGAAGGTCTGTGGTTTTGTCTCTGCTGCCAGTAATTTTAGGAGCTCTCAAAGGAAAGGGCACACATCTATATCTATGAGGGGGAGGGGTGCTTTGGTTCCTTTGCTAATCAAAAACTAAATGGCATGCCCATAAATGTCTAAAGATAACAAAGATTACTATATAAATATCTTCCAGCTCTAGTAGCTGCTACATTAAGAGTATGTGTTCCTCCTGGGGCACTTTCACTGTACTCAATAACTCTGAATATCTAAATATGTGTGTATGTCTCGGGGTAATATCAGTGCATACGTTATGCTACCCTTCCCATCCATTCGACGGGCATTCATCAATCAAAGTCTCCACAGACAGAGAGAGAGAGAGAGAGAGACATAGAGAGATTACAATTTACAGAACTTCCCAATCAGACGTGCCTTGGCACAGTGTCTGCCACAAGTTGTTTGCCCACACAAGTAACACATCCCCCCCATCAGACGCATCGTCATGAGCTCCACGCCTCGCCTCGCCTCGCCTCGTTCGCCTTTTATTGTTTGCACTGCAAATACCTTTTTATGGAGTGTGAAAGATGGCAGTAGGCAGCAGTGGGGAGAGGACAGAGAGGCAGAGTAATCATATAATGCGGAAAGCACTAATTATAAAGATGTTTGTTTTTAGCTTTAGACGCCTTCAAAACTTAATAATGCCTGACGATGGCAGCGGCAAATTCGTTTGTATATAAACTCAAACTACGGGTATATACTCACGAATGTTTTGCCATCAATCCTTCGCTGTGTGGGGCAGTTTCAAACAAGACATTTACTCTAATTTTTTTTTTATTTTTATTTTGCTTCTTAAACTTCCCTTCAAGTGCCAGTGAACTGGCAGATCAGCAACCAACTCAAAGTTGATCGCTTAACAAAATGCAAAGACCCAAAAGATAATGTTTAAGTGCTCCCCAAGAGCAACATCCGTTTGAGGATCGTATGATAAAACATCAGAAAAGTAGGGGTCAGTTCAGCCCTGGAGGGGGGAGGATCATCACGTGTGCTGTGGAGGAAGGAGCAGGCCATGTGCTTTACTCATCGATCGATCGATCGATGGATGAATGGATGGTAACCAATGAAATATTCCATGCCCATGCCAATATGTACATATGTTTACATTCACAGTCACATTCACATTCACATTGAGCTTTGTCACATTTTGTGATAAGAAACGAAAGAGGCTTAAGGTCAATTAGCAACCAATTATATGGTACCCAAAACGCGAGCCCATCCCGACTGATAAGCAGACCCAAGTGAGAAGTTTTTGCGCAGCCACTGTAGAGTAGCTGTGAGTATTTAGCATACAATATTTGATAGCCTTTCCAGTTGTTATTTATTAATTGCCGGACAATTAAGTGGCTGTAAAGTGTACATTTGAGCAGCAGTTTTAAGCGACCTTTAGCACACACAAAAACACACCCCCCCTCCCTCCAGCAACTTCCTACCCATTATTGTTACTGTTCACTTTAAGCATTGGTTTCCAGTTGGCCAGTTTTATTTATTCTCCTTGCTCGCCCCGTGCAAATAAAAGCGAACTTTGCCGCGAATCTTATCATTTTCTGCCATAACGACATACGTACATATGTACGTACATTTATGTGTGTATGTATTTGGTCAGTTTTGGTCAGTCTGCGATAATGGCGACTCCGCTCCGCTCCACTCTCACCTCGTGTTGGATATATAAAAAAAAAAAAGAACGCTATCCTTATCCTTATCAAATATATAGCGACGCCCAACCCTGCTACCCCCTACCCCCTACACCCCACTCCAATGATCTCATAAAACCCAAGGCAGAGATATCTTTCTTTGCCCCTGCCGCTTGTCGATTGGCATATTTACAACGGAACGGAGAGGCCTCATTTCAGTTCAGTTCAGTTCCGTTTCAGTTCAGTTCAGTTAAGTTCAGACCTTTGCTTGCTGGGTTGCTGGTCAGACCAAAACTCTCTAGGATACCGACAAAAACAAAAAAGAAGAAAAAATAATACTTAATAATCGTCGCCCAGACGCGCCGCTACGCCGGAGCGAGCTCTACGGATCACACAATCGGAACCCATTGACGTTTGTTATTTTTTCTACTTTCTTTATATAATAGGGGTGCTAAATTTATGTATTATTTATTTAGTTTTTAACTCTTTTTGTTTGTGGTCACGTTTCTAGTTCCCCAGCCAAATATTTAACTTAAACGAAGCCAACTGAGTGAGAGTTAGCTGTGGGTTTTTGGTTTTTTGGGCGGCGACTGTGATAGACCAACAAATTATCCAAACAAAGAGCTCAATCTGATCCATAAACGGTTATCGGATCGTCTGTGTGGTGTGCCAGCGAAATATATGTACATATTTATGTACAATATAGTGGCGGCTTTCAGTCTGTCAATGTGGCGTGAAGAGTGAACATGTGAATCTGTCCAAAGAGTGAAAAATAAATTTAAAAAAAAGCTATCCATTGGATTTCAATGAGTACAAAAAGTTGTTCTATAATATGTGGCATTTAATTTAATTATTCCAAATAGATGCTCAAAGTTTAACTCTCAGCTATCTGAATAATCGAATTTAAAGTTCAAGCGACCAATTCAAAGTTCTTTTATGTTTCTATGATTCCCATTGATCCCCATGCTTCGAGAAATCATTGTTTTTTTTTTTCGTTCTAATCGGAGCTTATATAATTCTTCTTTTTTGTTTTAACTGTCTTATCAGTTGTATATATGTACTGTACAATGTGCAACGTTTTTGTTTATATACAATTGATTTCGTGCTTATCTCAAAGGAAAAGGTATTTGGGCTTTGCTTTGATTTGATTTGCTTTGATTGAATGTGGAATTTGCTGAACCGCTGAATGCCTGCCATGAATAACTGCCGCAACGACTACTCCGGTTACTCACTTTGATTTGAATTTCCCATTTATAGGCGTATGATTGTAGGACCCATCCAGTGATGCAACAATCAGACAACCAGCAGTGCCATTGTCAGTGCCAGTGCCAGTGCCAGTCCCTGTTCCAATCCCAGTCCTAACACCGCAGTTTCAAGATGACTGATAATGGGAATCATCACCACCACAACAACAACAGCAGCAGCAACAATAACAATTATAATAATAATATCAATGAGGCATCCAGACTACGCTTGCCCGAGGAGCAGCTGACAGCAGAGCAACCACAGCAGCAGCAGCAGCAGCAGCAGTCGCAGTCGCAGCATCACTCAAAGAATGGTACCGGCCAGGCCAAGGTGGTGTTAGCCAATTCGCATTCACCCACAAAGAAAAAGAAGCGTCGCGACAAGAGCGATCTGGGCGATGATTTTGTGGCGCCCGATGGCGGCTGGGGCTGGCTGGTTGCCATTGCCAGTGGCGTTAATATTGTAAGTGTATCCTCCTCCCATGCTCCTTCTCGCATACTCCCATGCTGATCTGACCTTCTCCATGTGCTCTTCCAGCTGGTGACATTCGCTCTGGCCCAGCAGTTTGGCATTTTGTTCCGCACTCGTATGAGCAATCTGGGCATCAGCAACTCGGAGCTAACCACCATCATCAATACACAGATAGCCGTCTCTGCATTTACGGGTGAGTAAGGCAGCGTGCTACTGCGTACGTCTCATCTTTATGTGCTCCTTAGATGTTTTTCAGTTAGTGTAAACAATATTTATAGCTCACGTTTCTCTTTGTGATATCACATGCCGCGTTGGTACACTCGCAGATAAATGGCATAGTAATGCCATAGTGAACACACCCATATTCAAATGAAATATTCAATCTTTATATCCAATCATGGGAAAATTAAATATTCGCAATTCACTTTAATTTAAACACCTACAGAAACGCTTTAAAAGATATAAGCTATTAATAATATGAAATATATTTAATTAAATGTGTGCATTTAATTTAAATATAATACATTTGAGTTAAATATGAACAGCTATTTAATTTAAATATGAAATATATTTTATTTAAATATGAAAATATATATGTAATTTAAATATGAAAATATATTTATTTTTAATATGAAAATATTTAATTTATATAAGAAAATATTTAATTTGAATATGAAATATATTTATTTTAAATATGAAAATATATATTATTTAAATATGAAGATATTTAATTGAAATGTGAAAATATTTATTTTTAATATGAAATATATGTATATATATATTTTTTTTTTTACGTTCCATGGGCATTTGTATTTTGTATTATGAGTAAAATGTAACAATTTCTTGCTGAGAATCTCCACTTTCGGAGCAGATCTATTGGTATTAGTACTCGCTTTTAAGTATTTGTGTAAATAGGAAATTTGTCGTGTTTGATAAATTTCCACAAAATATCAATGAACGAACTCATTTAATCCAGCAGCCCTGCAATTTCTTAATTTTTGTGCCAATGAGCTCTCTCTCTCTCTCTGAAGCTAAATCTTTAATCTATTCTTTTGAAGTATCTTGGAATATTTTGTGTTAAAGAATAGCTTTGAATGACTTCCTTATTGCCTAACGAGTATAGAGAGGATCTCCAACTTGTATTTTAATTGATAAATTCCCTGATAATATTCCTTTAATGCTTTTGTTGCAGGTCTTTTGAATGGCCCGCTCTTCCGGCGTTACACATACCGCGTGGTGGCCCTGTTCGGCTCAGTGCTGACCTTCTTGGGCCTCTTCTGGATGGTGTTCGCCGAAAGCTTCACCGTCTACCTGCTCAGCTTCTCGATCATCTATGGCTTTGGGCGTGGCCTGACGGTGTCCGCCTCCTCGCTGGCGGTGAACACGTACTTCAAGGTGAAGCGCCGCACAGCAACCGCGTATCAGTTCGGTGTGGCCGGCCTGGGGCCCATTGTGTGCCCCTACTTTGCCACCTACATGCTGCAGGTGTTCGGTGTGCAGGGCACGACGCTGCTCTTCGCGGGCGCCTCGCTGCACACGATCGCCTGTTCGCTGATCTATCAGCCGGTGAAGTGGCATGTGGTGAAGCGCGACAGGGATGCCGAGGCGCTGCACGAGCCGCAGGGACTGGCCGAGCGCGAGGACCAGGATGGGGATATCATCAAGAGTGTGGTGGAGCCGGAAACGCCGGTGCTGCCGCGCGCCAACGATGGCTGGTTCGGGTCCAGGGCCTCGCTGAACAGCAGCGGCACCCGGAATCGCCTTAATACCTTTGAGAAGTCCGAGCACAGCGGACACGTGGAGCTGAAGCGTCTGAATAGCCGCGGGGAGCGTACGGACATTTCGCCGCGCCAGCAGCGCAGCATTTCCGTGAGCCACAGCATCAGGGAGGAGGAGCCAGAGTCGGGTACGGAGACGGACAAGCCGCATCCTGGCTACGACTCGGAATCCGAGGCGGAGGCCGTGTCCCTCAAGCTGACAGACAGGGACAAGCAGGAGCTGGAGGACGAGCTGGAGCGCGAGCGCCGCAAGAAGCTGCCCTTCTACATGAAGATCGTGATATTCTTCGATCTGGATCTGCTGCGTGACTTCACCTACGTGAACCTGGCCGTGGGCATCACGCTGATCAACTTTGTGGAGATCAACTTTGCCATTCTCACGCCATTCATACTGAACGATCTGGGCTTCCAGAGTGACCAGATAGCCCTGGCCATGTCCACGCTGGGCTTCTTCGATCTGGTCGTTCGCTTCCTCATTCCACTGATCACCGCCAAGATCAATCTGAGCAATCGCACCTTCTTTGTGGTGGGCATCCTGGGCATGTGCCTCGGCCGTGTCTTCCTCTCGATGACCTCCAATTTCTATACAATGGTCGGCATCTTTTTGTTTCTGGGCCTCAACAAGGCCTTCCGCACGGTCTTCTGGTCGTTGATTATACCAGGATATGTGCCACTGAAGCGTCTGCCAGCTGCCGCTGGACTTCAGCTACTAATGTCTGGCACCTTCTCCATGGCCTTTGGCCCACTCATAGGTAAGTGAGAGAGAGAGAGAGAGAGAGCCCCCCAAGAGTCTTTGGCCCACCAACTGAGTTTGTGTTTGCATTTGTTTTCGTTTTCGTTTTCGTTTGCAGGTCTGGTGCGGGACCATACCAGCTACGCTTTTACCCTAAACTGCCTGAATGCCCTCTGTGTGATGGCCATTGCGGGCTGGTACCTGGAGGACTTTGTGCGTGCCCGCACACGCAAATCGCAGCCCGTCAAGCCATCGGTCAACTGAGAATCCATCCCCAAAATCCATCCCAGCCCTAAATCTAGCGAAATGTTTCTTCTTGTTACCCCCACCCCCACACCACCCCCAACCCAAAAGATGTTTTTTTTTTTTTTTAATTTGTATTTTTATATTTCTTAATGTAAATTATGTCTATAATCAGCGTGTACATTGTGTATATAATAATTGAGTGTAGCTAATTATTTGTATTAACTATTGATAATTGTTATTAATATGCATAAGCTGCCAACACAACAAACCAAACAAAAGCAAAAGCAAAACAACGCAAAGCAAAACACAAACAAAACATTAGCAAAATAATGCACGAGTCTTTTTGGTCAAAAGAGTGCCCCGGGGGGGTACTTAATGAATGAATGAATGCTGTTTATTCATGGGGTACGTACTCGGGGCATATTTGATTTTCTAGCGAGCGAGTAACAGGTGGAAGGAAGGTCGTTGGCACTGTAGAAATTACTGGATATGGAATACAGAGCTCAGAATTATTTCAGTATATTGGCAATCGATTCTTATAGCCCAAGAAGTGCGTAGATATAATCTATAGCTTATGTATATGGCTCTTCAGATTTTGCATTTTATTGTTCATCATGTTGCCGACGGCATTTATCAATTATCAATTTGCTCCGACGGTCTTTTTGCAATCATCAAAGTTCTCCAACGTACACGTTGAATTTCCCCATTAAACATCGACTGTGTCGCCTGGGCAAGTACAGCCGGGGAAGATATATGCTATATACTTAATACTATTTATATTTCATTTATAGGATAAGGATAAAAGGCGTAAAGACGCCTTCTAGTCGTGCCACATACCTTCTGTCTGTGCTGCTGTTCTTCTCTTGTGCACATTATTTCTTTCAATCTTAATTGTTTCTTTTCCGCCATCAATCAAATGATAGTCTCATAATTATTGGATAAGAACTACAGGCAGCAGCAAAAGTGATGAAACTTGCGGCATAAAAAACGCTTTGAGAACTCTTCTAGAAATGTGTTTCCGCTGTGTACTTTTGATTGAGATTATGCCAAGGAAACACCTGCGCCGATTTGGGAATAGTTTTGCTGAATGAACAAACGAAAATTCATTAAATGAGACGCGATAAGATTTGCTACGAATTTCGTATAGTCTGGAAATTATTATGCCAGAAGTAATCTATCAGGTATCAGCGAACTTTGAAGTGTATCTAAGTTTTGGTGTTTTTTTTTTTTTTTTTTTTCTGGTTTTTATCTTTTGTCATTGATAATCGCTTTGATATGGACTGTTGTTTGACGTTGCGCCCCCAAGTCGATGATGTGTCATGCAATCGCTGGTAATTGGATAGCATGGGGCCAGGCGTGGAGCGTGCAGCCCCATTCTTTAGCTGGCGGCGTAGCCAAAGTATGTGACAATGTGGCGAAATTAGCTCCAGAGAGAGACAGAGACCCTGTGGCTTGGCCTGGCCCGGCCTGGCCACCCTCCTCCAGTATCTGTGTCCACAGATCGCATGGGCTTGGAGAAATATCCCAAAGGAAGAGAGAAACAGAGAGAGAGAGAAAGAGAGTGGAGACGATAAATGCCGGAGTGTTGCTGTGTGGGAACCGGTTACCAGTTTACCAATTAAATGCTCTCTCTCTCACTCTCTGACTTTGATGCCGGCTGTGCTGGGCCTGAACTCGGTCAATAAACTAACCGCAAATATGTCCATGCCATAAGCCAAAGACAGCAACAGCAACAGCAACAGGCACCGGCACCGGCACAGGCACAGGCCCCAGCGATGTTTGGACACCACAAACATGTTGTTGCAGTTCGAGATATTTGCATAAATGCTTGGCCAAATTGGATTGTGTTGCCTTGTTCTGTTCTGCTCTGTTCTCGGTTGTGTATATTGAGATGTGCCCACTCTGGTCATGAATATGATACCCGAGTGAATGTGGATGTGAATGTGAATGTGAATGTGGATGGCATGCTGAAAGGGAATTCTATTGAGCGGGCAAGCTGGAGGTCGGGGTCGAGGTGCTGCAACACACATAATTACTTGTGCAGAATTCCACCGATAGGCTCTAGCGGTTATTCAATCCCCTTGGCCAGGAATGCGTCAAAGCTAATTAATTAGTGGGCGATAATTGAATCAAATGATTGAGGTAAGCGTCTACTAATGACAAATCTGTTTGGCATAATTCTCACTTCAAGGAGAAATTCGAATGGAGCAGACATTAATTCCAGTGCGGAATCAGTTTAAAATATTTAACCTTTGAGCATGATAAATCCATATAAATCTTTAAAGATTTTTCCTCTTGCACGACACCTTAAAGTTCTTGTTGAATCACTATTTAAATCACTTTTTAGTCAACTTATTTGTGTAAACGGAAACGCGTGTGGAATAATTCAAGTCATGCTTTGGGCAAATATCTCAATCAAACTTTTGCCATATTTGTTTTTTATTTTGAATTTATTTAATACGAATTTTGAGTGTGTATTCTTCACGAGCACGAGTATCAGTTGTTGTGCACAATATGTGCCACTATCACGATGAGTGGCGACTATTTATTGGAAGTGCACATTTCATTCTGATTTGCCAAGCCAAAAAGAAGCAACTTTTTGTGTGCCCTGCCCCCTGCGACACATGATAAGACTTGGGACTGGCGTACTTGATAGGAAAATACATACGGACATACAGACAGATGAGTTTTGTTTTGCACCTTTTAAATCGTTGAAAAATAGTTTGAATCTATAAAATAAATAAATAAAGAAATAATAAATAAATAAATGCAATTGCAAACGAATACATAAATTTCGATTGAGTGTTTTCTTGCATTAAATCTAAATTTTTCCAGTCTACCAATGTGTCTGTACGAGTATACCCCACATATAAATTCCACCCATGTGGTACTCCCATTTTATTCTTGTCACTATATTTCAGCCAATAGATATTATGCGAACGCACGTAAATCCCCATAGGCGAGAGTCATTCTGGGCACAAAAAAAAAAAGAAGTAAAGTCCGTAATCGTTGCAAATGACTGCGCAGCGGAGGTTTTCCGCGACTGTTGAGTGAGTCAAACACTTTTTGGAATCACTGTTATAGCCCCGTAACCAAAACCGAAAGGGAAAACGAAAACTTTGTTTGACTTTCGAGTCTGAGTGACGCATTTTGTGGTGCAAAGTGCTCGCTCTCCGCCAAATTACTGCTGTAAATATTTAACGTATGAGAAATGCTAGTGGCGTTGGATTTACGATACGCAACTTTAACTATCTCTGGCATAATAAAGATAGTAAGTAGTACATTTAGTGGGGTACTTTTTTCGGGGCGGATTCGTCAGCTCAAGTCTAATCTTTGCGCCAATATTTGCATAGACAAATTGGAAGGGTTCCGTTCCGACCAAGCGGCCATTCGTTGGGAATTTAATCGCAGAGCCATTCGGAAGCATGCGTTTTTATTACTATAAAATAAAATAAAATAAAATAAAATAAAATATTATAAATAAAGAAAAATATAATATAATATTCATATTCATAATATAAGTCTTGGCTTGCCTTGGATGACTGTCTGCCTGCTGTATAATTAATTTAAATTTAAATTTAAAATACGTCACGAAACTGTTTTAATGTTGCATAATAATTCATGGACGAACGTTTCGCTCGGTTCTCTCTATCGACGATCGCGGTCTGTTATCAACTGTTAGCAGTAGAAAATTATATGAATTGTAGTTCAACAAGTTGCCGGCCTTTTGCCGGTTACCATGACATTGGTTGGATGGGTATAGCTATCTACACCGACGGTATACGACTCGGAAATGACCTGCAGAATGCCGGAATGACAAATGCGTGGGGGGATACGGTGGGTGGGGGTAGGAAAGTGTCAACCATCATAATCGATAATCAGTTGAAAAAGCATGTGGATATCCCCAGCAAGAACTTTCGCCGCAATTAGATGGAATAATATTTGGTTAGACATAAAAACAGACGCACGCTGCATGGCTCCACACGGCACTCCATACGCTCCATACACACCATACGCTCCATGATGGGGCACCGCGCCTAGGGTAGTAAAAACATCAAAGGCAAATTAAAACAAATAACAAAAAGCACGCAAGCAACAGAGATACTCGCCTCGCCTCGCCCACTTCGTACTACCACTACTACTGGGCGGACCTGGACCTGGGCCTCTGGCCCCCTGGCGCAGAGCACAGCCCCCCCATTCAAAGCACAGATACAGACGATACCAGTATTTTTTTTCTGTGCGTTTTCGTTGCAGAATCAACAGTAAACAAGAGAGGAAGTTCAGCTTTGTGCAACGAAACACTTGATGCTCTTTATAGCAGATCTAGCGGAGATCTATCGTTCAGCTGAGCGCTACATTATACGAATTAAATGAGGAAAAAACGTCAGTCTGATCTGTGGCTCTGGGGCTACTTACATATGTATTACGTTTCACTGACTAAAAAGGTTTTTTATTTTCGACATGCCATTTATGCAATTTTAAATTCTTGAATTACTTTTGCTTTAATTCTCTTTGATTTATTTTATGCAAGCAATTCATTTTATTCAAGCAATTATTATTATTATTCCTATTCCTAGTCAAATTTTGAGTTTCATGTGTAAAATCCTGTGCTCCTTTCACTTGTAACTTTGAAGTTTTTTCCCTTTCAGTCATACATCTTTGGACATCAGTTCACAATACCCATATACCAAATAGGGTATACAAAAATAAAAAATAAAAAACAAAACAAAATTACCCGCGAGAGAGCGACAGCAAAAAGTTGCCAAGTCATTGGCTTAAAATGAATTTGTTTTCCTATGTTTGCGATGTCTCATCATGCTGAATTAAATGATAATTTATTCGATTTCTATATAGTCACACTTGCACCTGTACATACATGTACATATTTGTACATATTTGAAGCGAAAAATGCTTATGGTAAATATTTGTATGTATAGTCTACAGTAAATTAGTAAATTCAAAGTTAATTGGATTTTTTTTTTATTGTTTTTTGTTTTGTTTTAAAAACGTTTTACGAGACGTGAAAGAAAGCTCAGAAGCGTGTGTACTTATTATTTTGACCAGTGGTGTAAGCAGCACCTCCCTACCGTCCCCCTCCCTAGCTTCCACCATGCATGTGCGTGTGCTACTGTACACTAATTTCGCAATATATAATTGCCCCCCAGAATCTTGAATCTGGTTCGATTCGTGTGTCGTGTGTCGTCGATTTTTCATATTTGCTGTGAAAGTATTGTTTTTGCCTGCACTTCCACTTCCTCCTGCTCTAAGCCACCCCGCCGCTCCTACCCACTCCTCTGCTCATCCACTGACCGAGTCCGAGACCGAGACCGAGACCGAGAGCGACCTCCTCCCTCTCTCCGCACCTCTGTCAACAACAGAGACGGAAAGAGTGTGCGACTAAGCACTTGGGAAACCGCAACCACCTGTTGTACGAGCGTAAGACAGAGAGGGCGTGAGTGACAGAGAGAGCTTCGGCTGCTGGCCGGGGAGGCAAGTGCTGTTGAGCGGGGGTGGTGGTGGTGGTGGTGGTGGTAGTGGTGCTCCCACAATGTCGCAAAGCCTGTGTTTGCTTGACATTGATACTCGTACGGGCGCCCAGCCACCAATGAATGTGTCCCTGTGTGGGTGTGCCTGCGCCTGGTGTGTGGGTGTGTGCGAGTGGTAAGAACGAACGGTAAACCAGCCAAAAGACTCAATCGTCTCTCAAGGAGTTCTTGTTGGGCGTGCGAGCGAGACAGCCTCACCGATAGAGATGGAGAGAGTGAGTGAGTGAGAGTGGGTGGCGTGGCGTGGCCCTGGTGCACCGTGGTGCAAATTAGCTAAATGCATGATGCACTCTCTGCACTCTGCATGCGGCATGCTGCATGATGCATGACTCATTAGCCGCATAATCAGCTTGATTAATTTGCTTTCAGTTTGCGAATTGATTTGATTGATGGCCAGCGGCCAGGATCTAGCCATTTGATTGATGGCATTGCATCGACTGATTTATGGCGGCCCAACCAACGAGATACTTAGCGTTCTAATGACAGTGGTATATCCAGTGGGATGGCAGTGGCAGTGCTGCCATAAAGTGTAAGGAAATTTCGTAACAAATTCCCAAGAAAAGTGCTTTGTGGAAAATTCTGCAATAATATTATATGGGGGGTTAGGGCTAAGGGTGCTGCTACCTGAATAATCGTAAATTGTGGTTTAGCCCAAGGTGGCAGAGCCGCAACACACAAATGCCGCAGGATCAAGTCAAGATTTCGTTTCAGAAACGCCAGAGGAAGAGAGCTGTCCAACCAACTGCCGTCCAACACTTGCACATCAATCAAATGGCGGAGCTATACCCGGGGTCTCTCTCTCTCTCTCTCTCTCTTGTCTCCTAACGGCCAATTAGTGGCCTGTTGGTTGTCTGAGCCGACCTTTGAACTGTGCGAACTGTGCGTGTGCGGGCCACACTAGAACCAGAAACCAAAAAAGCAACAGTTGGCCCAGCGAGCGGCTAAATCAAAGTTGTTCTCTCATTGAGTCAGTATCTCTCATTATTGGCAGAGTCATGATGATAATGTTAGCCAGCAGACCACTGTTAATGCGTAGAGCGCGTGCGAGAGCCAGAGAGGGATAGAGAGCTGCTGCCTAGCTACCTAGCTGCCTAGCTGCCTATGCTGCTGCTGCATTTTCATATGCACTCTGCCCACGCACTGCCAGCAACAGGCAGCCAGCAGGCAACCAGCAGGCAGGCGCTATCACTCTCGTCCTCGCTCGCACTTGCACACTCACTCTCGCTATCAGTGTAGCCCGCTCCCGCTCGCTCTGGGTGCCGGGCCAGGCTGCTGCTGCTGTTGCTGCTGCTGTTGCTGTTGCTGCTGCTGCTTAGACTCGCGTTGCTAACGTAAAATGCTATAAAGGCAACCGCAGGCCGCCGGGCCAAGTAAGTCGATTGCTGGACGCATAACAGTGAACAACCCACACACATACACACACACAGGCACGCAGGCACACACGCACGCACGGAGACTTAGCCGAGCACGCAGACCGAGCGAGCGCACCAAAACAAAATAATATGATGAACTCACCAAATTCACCAAACTCACCAACGGCAGCAGGTGCTGGCTGGCAGTGAAAGAGTTTTCTGTTTTTGTATTACAGTTCGAACAGCTGAGTCGCGACGTTGTGTATAACACATACGCGGCGTGTTCTCTGCTCCCAACTCAACTCAACCAAACCAAACCGAACCAACCGTCAAACCAGTGTACAAGTGTTTTTTAACGGCTCCTCCTCGGCTCTCTTACTTTTGGGATTTGCAATAAGCCAAGCGCAGCGCAGTGCAGCTCAAGTGTGCTCTTCTTTTTTGTTTTTGTGCACTTCTCTAAACAGTTCTTTAAACTCAAACAAACTCAAACAAACAAAACATCCAACAAAAAACAAACAAACGTGTGAAAATTAGCAGCTTCCTCAATCCAAGCATCTGCTAAGCCGTAAACCGTGTGATAAACGACAGTTACAAACCACTTGAACAACAGATTACCAATTACCGTAAGTTTCGAAAAAAACAATTAAAACATAAACATAAACAAAACAAAATGTCAAAAATCAGAATGAAGAAAGTGTCAAACAGACAGAGGGGGGGGGCCATAAGGTACTACCACTACCACTACCACTACTGTCTGTCGTCACAGGCACCCACAATCGACATCCACAGCCCAACAGCCACTCTGTGTGTGCTTGGACGGGACCACCGCTCTACCCACCACATTTACCAACATTACGATCTGGTTCCGGGAAGCAAATTGAGTTTGCCTCCCTTGCCTTCCTTCCGTTCCCTGTTCGAAAAAAAACCTCCGCACTGAGCTGAAAATATTCACCAAATCGAATTAAATTTCCTTTTTTTTTTTGTGTGCTGTTTTTTACGTGATGTTATTTTTGTGCTGTCCTCGACGAAGCGCCTCGAGGGTTCCATAGGGATTCGTCCGGGGTCTGGAATTGACGGTAAATGCATTTACATCGGGCGCCAATTGGTGGGTGGATGCCGGCACCCCCCGTCGGAGTGCGTCAGCAAAACAGACACATATACATACATATTTTTTTTAAACGTGATCAGACCGTGCCATTGAAATGTTGTTGCATTCTGTGCTTGATAAGTTGCAAGAGAACAACCCAATCAAAAAGTGATTTGTTTTTTTGCGATTTTTTATTTAAATTAAACAAAATCTCTTATACTAGAAAACTAAGATCTTTAGTTGGAAAATTTGCCTAAAATTAGAGAAAATATCAAGGTATTAAATGCATATAAATATTGCATCAATCATAAATATGCCAGGCTTTAAATGGCTAAAGTTTCAGTTGGTATTAAATATAGAAATATTTATAATTTAAGCATGTACGAAACATTTGCTAAACTATGTTAAAACAAAGTTTAAAACTATTTAAAACTATTGAAGAACTTCTAAATACTCAGGGGTTCGCCGTTTCTCCTTTAAAAAGATCGCCAAACGTACAGAAATATTCCCAGCAATATGCCCAAGCAAAAGGGAGTCCCATAGGTACTTACACTTCCCTTCTAGAGTATTCTAAGAATATGCTGAAAATCTGTAGAAGGTGAATATTTAGATACTATAATTTGTGGCCACAGAATGCACGCGGAAAGCAACAGCAAAGCCAGTCAAAAACAACACCCCCCAGATGTCAGTTGGCCAAGGTTCTGGCCTGTCAGTTTTTTTTGCCGCTGGAAGAAGATGCTGCCCCCGCAGCTCTGGCATAAACTAAAGCTGTCAGCACACAACAGACTCGCAAAGCAGAGCCGAGCAGACTCAAAGAGCCCTCAGCACAAAGCCCCTACCCCACCCACACACACACACACACACACACAGACAGACACCCAGCAGAAGATGGGGAAATTTTTGTGCGGATTTTCGTATTTGACTCCCCGTGAGAGATAACCTGTTGCAAACAATGAAAATCGGGGAATTGGGGGCCACGCTCCGTCTGGTTTTTACTGTGTCTTTTTTTTTTGTTTTATTATATTTTTTACTTGGTAAATGTTACGTGAAAAATGTGCAAATGGGAAAAGGGAAAATGGTAGACAGATTTTAGAGTTTGTTTTATTTTTTATTTTTTTTAGATTTTGAATTGAATCAACAGTTATAAGCAGCTTACGTGCTGATGATGATTATCGTATAATGGAAGCGCCCTGTTCGCTGGGATTATGCAATCGATAAAGAGCGACCCCTCCCGTTGGAATCAGAAATGCAGGCGATAAGCTCCTGGCCCAGACAGAACAGAACAAAATAGAACTCTCTGGGTCTGGCTCTCTCACTCTGATATTCTGTGGGGCCAGTTAGATAGTTTGACCAATTGATTGGAGAACTCCCACTAAGCCAAAGCACACCTTTTTGGCCCAGAGACATAGAAACGGAGAGACGGAGAGAGGGAGGGAGAGAGAGACAGAGATCATATGTCAGAGTCGCACACCCAAGTGGAATTAGCATTTGTGGGCTGGAGTGAGAGCCAATTGCCATTGGAATTGGGAATAAGAATGGTTATTCGAATGGGAACCAGACAGTCAAACAGACAGACAGACAGACAGACAGAGAGGTTCGTTCGAGTGCATTTTTCTGGGTACAGGGGATTGCTTTGCTTTTCTTTGCTTTGCTTTGCTTTGCTTTGCTTTGCCAGTAGTATAGTGTTTCACTTGACAGAAGGCACTTAGGACCGGGGCCCAGCACACTTAAGCGGCGGGGGCGCGGGCGGCATCGGAGTCAATTTTTGAAGTGCAACGTCGGGAGTACGTGAGTTTATTCGAAACGAAACGAAACGAAACCAAATAATATAAAATAGAATAGAATAGAATTGTATGCAAGGCGGCAATGGACATGAGGATTTTCCCCCTAAGATTGATCCTCAATGATCTTCATTCACATACCACATGCATATCCCATGCCACATACCCATCACCATCACCATATTCCATTCCCAGAGACAGAGCCAGAGACAGAGACAGACACAGACACAGAGAGACACATGTGAGAATGTGACGGGTGTTGGGATTATTTTGTGGCCAGAGCACCCAGCCCAGGGCCTACTGTGGCAATAACAATCATTGAAATGAAATGAAATGAAATGCTACTAAAAATAGACCCATGCCAGAGCCCAATACCAGGGAACACACGTTTGCCCATAATCTCGGGATGCAATTGAGACGGAGACGGAGTTCAGCCTACACAATGAATGATAACTCCATGTCCATGTCGCACTCTCAGTCCCAATCCCAATGGGCCCACGGGTTTTGGTTTTGGGTGTATAAATAGCCCCATTTGTAGTCGTCTCTCTTTACATCAAGCCAAGCATGACGCTACGACTACTAGAACCACTAGCCTATACAGACGGAATAAATCAAAAAACAAAAAGCCAACACCACAGCCACAGCCAGAACCAGACCCAGACCTAGAACCAGAACCATGCCCTGCCATACAATGAGGTTCCCTTTCTTGGTTTTACGAGTGTTTGGTTTTAGGGAATGTTTTTTGGAAGGCGCCAGCACTGAATCATAAATTTTCAGTGGTCAAAAATGTTATTTTATTGCTGCAACAGATTTTACCTTGTTACTAGACAAAAGATTTGCTCTGAACAATGTTTGCATTGTTCCATTAAATGCAGTATGCTAACGGCGGGCAAACAGTGCAGTTTACAAGTATGCATATTGAGGGAAATCCTGTATGAAAAGTGCATAAAAATTATAAGAAAATCCATGGCATAAATTTAGAAATTTAAAACCTACTGAAGACTGCTTTTAACTATCAAAAGAGTGTGCCATAAATCCAAGAGAAATGCATCAAATTCAGTAACTAAATCTGGCAATAGATGTGCGATTTATTTAATCTCCAAATATTAATTTTATCTGCGTAAATTATATATTTATTCCCCAACTACTAGTAAAGACTTATTTTATCTATAAAAGAAAAGAAAAAGCTATGCCAGAAATCCAAGAAAAATCCATGAAATTTAAAAACTAAAGTCTAGGCATACAACCAACTAAAGATAGCTTTTATCTATCGAAAGTATCTCTCTCTCTCTCTCTTCCTAAGATTTCATTATTTCACAATGTTTGGCAAAGTATTTCTGGTCTTTGCAAAATACATATCTATGATCATACCATACCATACCATACCATACATAAGTTTGTGTTTATATGTTTGTATTATGTTCCTCCTGCTGCCTGCTGTTGCTCTCTTTTGTCAATAATAAATATTCTGTGTGATCAGCTGAAAGTTCTTGTGTGCATCGAGCAAAAGTTCAAAGAGTGTCAAATCTTCCAGACTAAGAGAGTGAGAGTGAGAGAGAGTGAGAGTGAATGATCTACAATTATAGCTTCTGTGTGTGTGTGTGTGTGTGTGTTTTTGTTGTTGTTATTGCGCTCTCTTTGGAACCAATTAGACGACGGCGCGAATCAATTACCGCGCTCTGCTATATATCTGTGGACAGGCCTTAATCAATTCTCATTGACACAATTTAATTGAAGTCTCTGTTGGCTGCTTGTGAAATGAAAACGATCAGTGCGACAACACAATTCTTTGGACTTGACGCCTCCCTCCTCTGCTCTGCTCTGCTCTGCTCTGCTTTGCCCACAGCTCACACAGACAGCTGGACACAGACGCAGCCGAGTGACAATATACTCTCGCAATTCCATGCCGAACCCCACACAACGATTAATCTCAATTAGAGGCCAATTGAGTGAGAGAGCGAGTGGAAAACCGCTTACAAAATGGTTTTTGGTATGGGAGATGCATCTTATCGGTTTTTGGGGGGGCATGTAGCACGGGGCACGGGGCACGGGGAACGGCGCATGTTCCAGTGCTTGTCCAACCATTAGGCTGCACCTGTTGTACATCACATCAGACACAGCCACATGTGCGTTGTGAACTTCAAAAGGTACAAGTGTTTTTTTCCTCTCTTCACTACACTTCACTTCTCCCCTTTCTTTTCTTTGCTGTTGTTTTCTGCTATTTGTCTTGTGGCTCCAGAGAGATACGACAACCGACAGACAGAGCGTCAGAGCGTCGATCGGACGCCTCGTCCGTAGTCAATAGTGCCGCCTGTGTGCCCCTTCCGCCCTTTATCTAGCCCGTTCGAAATAATGAGTCATCTGCTCCGCTTCTAATGGCCCAGCACTCGACCAATAGATAAGGGTTACGTATCCCCCCCTTCAAAAGTCGTCGCTACAAGTCGCAGGAGATTTCTTTTTCCTGTGGGCCGATTGATTCTTATCTCAACAGAAGCGAGAGAGAGAGAGAGAGAGAGAGAGAGAGAGGGAGAGATAGAGATAGAGATTGAGAGGGCACGAGCAATGCGAAAAATTACAGAGTATTTGCAGAGTATTTGCTTTGTGCGCCTTGTGGCTTTGTGGCATGGGGCAATACTTAATTACATTCCGTTCAACCGTGCTATCGTACAAAGAGATAAAGTCATACCCGTGCCAGTGGCAGCAGCCGCAGCCGCAGCCGCAGTCTCTCGCTCTTTGTTCTGCTTTATAATCCTCATTGGAATATTGGAATTTATGGACTACCTTCTGAGACGGGGAATACCTATTTAATAGCCCACCACCGTCCCTCCCTCCCCGCCATGCTACTAGTACCAGTACATTTATCAGGATTTTGTGTGAAACTAATCTGTGTTTGGAATACGCTTAACTTATCTGTGAATACCCTCTCTGGAATATGTTGTGAAATTCTTACCAAACAGATTCGATTCGTTTTGTTTCGTTACGTTTTGCACTTCCCATTGATTGGGGGGGCTTTATTATCAAGGCACTTGCTCCGGGCTCCGAGCTCCGGCGAGCTCAGAGCTCTGCTTCTCCACTCTGTCTCTGGCCAGCCCATTCATGAGTGTTTGCTTTTCTAAAACACAAAATTAAGTTGCCCACGCGGCATGACTATGCGAAAACACACACACACACACACACACACACACACAATACAAAATACAACAACAGTAAAAGCAACAAACAAATAAAAACCAAACACAAATACAAATACAAATTATAAGAAAGCAATGACGACAAATTGCGGAAACCGACGGCCGGAGCTCCATTGGCATCGAAACCGGAATGTCGCGGTCGCTGCGATGGAAACGCTGGATAGATAGATAGATAGATGATAGATATATGGATAGATTGGATGGATGGGATGGATTGGATGGTAGATCGCTTTGCATTGCACCCAATGAGTCTCGGCGCTCGGCTCTCGTGTTGAAACGTTTTGAGAGTGCCGTGCCGTGCCGACTGCGACTACGACTGCCACGATATATCGACTTAAAGCGAAAGTTTTGTATGGGAATATACCCTGCCAGGGAGCATCATTAATGAATGAATGGCAGAAAGAAGCAACAAATACACTGCCATGGAGCATCATTCATGAATGAATGGCAGAGAGAAAGAAGAAACAAAAGTCTAACGTGGAGAATGGACAGTGCAAGCAGAGCAGCGGCACGCACTGCTTGATTGTCTGCACTGTGAGAGAGTAGCAGATGTAGAGTGGGAGAGCCATTGCAGTCTGTAGCCTAAATACATTTATTTTTTGGTGCATAATTATCCATTTAAGAACTCACTTGGAATACTGTTTGTAGCCATAGAGTGTCTGCTTGATATATACATATATATAGATTCTATTCAGTATTCAGCTGTCGTAGGAACAGTTGCTGCTTGAATGAACCAAGGCAAAAACGACAACCGAGGAGTGCTGCTGCATGCCGCTGATATGCAGCAAATGTTAGTTAAAGAATGCAGAAAGCAATAAAGCGAGAACTGCATATCAAAAGTGAAAGAATAAAAAGAATAAATTTAAATATTTAACTACCAACAATCACGGAATAAAAATTAGCGAAAATAAACCCTGAAAATATGTTTAATACACTGCAATTTACAGTGTACTTAAAGCTTCGGCTTGGTTCTTTTTATTTATTTTATTTTTGTACGCTTTCCTCTCTGTTGATCGATTGCTTAAAGCTATGGTGGTGGGGAGGGGGCGGCTGCTAAGTGCCATCGTTGTGCTACCCCTTCTGCAAGATCGGTCCCAGTTGCAGTCCCCCCATCCCAACGCAGTTCGAGTTCCAGACAGACTGCGACTACAACGGACGGGACGGGGCGTCAATTTATGGCACGCTCCGATGAAGTTCAATGGCAACGGCACACGGCACCGATACATACATGGAGAGGCAGCGTAGAGTCTCGTCTGAATGAAGACATCCCACGGATGCATCTGCTGGCAGTGCTGCACCGGCTTTGTCCTCGCATTATCGATGCATAAATAAACGCCACATGCAACAGGGGAAGGTGGCTAAGGGGGCTAAGGGGGCGGTTAGGCGGTACAACTTGTCTTTTGATTATCACAAGAACCGAACGAACGATGACAACCAACTCTCGATCCTTCTCGATGGGGTCTCACTTTGCCTGTGCATTTCCATGCATCGATCCAATCCAATCCGGTCTGGGCGCTGTGCTGTGCTGTGCCGTGCCGTGCCGTGCAACACTTTGGGGCACACCCCACCCGCTAAGTGATTTCCATTTTGCTTCGTTTCAAATTGCAAAAAGAATTCTCCTCGTGACTTGCATACGAAATACTTACCGCCAATCGGCGCGACAATGTCGCACCCATTAATAGGCAATTTTGTGTGTGTCGTATCTATGATGGGAGTCGTCACTCGATAGACCCTATAATATTGATGATTGTCGGTCTAGTCTGCAACATTATAGCGGAGCTTTCTGCGTCAATCCCAATTAGCAATTAGAGCATTATCTTTGCTCCTCCACCCTGCCAGCCGCCTCCTGCTCCAGCTCCAGCTGCGGCTCCAGCGCCATTTAAGGTGTGCCCTCATCGACTATAGGGGGCTATAGATACGAAATAAATACTCGTGCGAGTACGAGTACGAGTATGTGATAATGCCAGCGTTGTGATGGCTCTAATGATAGTTTTTTTGGAAAAACACTGACAACGACATACGCACACACACACATATGTATGTAGGATAAGGAATGATAATGGAGAGAAATTTGTTAGACACATCTGAGATTGCTAGACGTTTAACGAACACTCGAAATGGGGATACGCCTTGTGGGTGTGGAAGCTCTAAGAGAAGGATGAAGAGAGAGAGCGCGAGTGGGGTAGCTCTCTAATAAATATAATAGTTGTGAAAGAAATGGCATCCCAGGAGCGCAAGCAGGCCGACCAAAGGGCACTGCTGCATGACGCGCTAAACCTAAAATCGAAGGCATAGAGATTCGATAGAGTATGCTGCATATATTGCAGATGTTTTGTGTTAAGAGCTGAGACAGAATCAACCGAGGGGCACTGCTGCATGACGCACGACAGCAAGGATTAAGATGCCAATAATGATACAATTATTTGATGATCAACTGATGATCTTTGAGGAATAGAATAATCATAAAAGACAGCAAATCAGCAGAGCCCAGGCGAAAGCCAAAGCAAGCCGAGGGGCGCTGCTGCAGGACACGTTACAGCTAAGAAGGGATCAATTTGAAACTAAACTAACTTTTAAAAGTTATTGCCAGTTGTTTTGTGCTCCCCTGAACATTAAATAATTATAAATCGAATGCTAGGAAATCCCCAATTAATATCTTATCAAAATTAAATGTTTCTTGTACTCTTTCAGGGCATGGACAAGTCAAATTTAACGGATAAGAATCACACGAGTGTGTACAATGTGACGACGAAACCAAAGAAGCCCAAGCGGCGGGACAAGAGCGATTTGGGTGCAGATTTTGTGGCACCCGATGGCGGCTGGGGCTGGGTCGTATGCCTCGCGGCTGGATTGAATAACGTATGTGAAATAGAAATTGATAAGCGAGTCCATACACTCGAGTTGCATTCAATAAATCATTCATCAATTTCTTTCTTGCCATCCAGTTCTTTTTGTTTCCGGCCCTGCAGCAGTACGGCTTGATCTACAGAGTGCGAATGCACTCGCTGGGATTCGATGCCAAACAGACGACAACAATTGTGAATGTGGTGATGGCCATATCCTCGCTAGTGGGTAAGTCAGTGGCGGGGAGCAGTGCGGAGCGGAGCAAGGATCATTAAAATATTTATTTATTTTCTCCCCCTTTTGCAGGCATCGTCAATGGAGCCATGTTCCGGCGCTTCACATTCCGTCAGGTGGCCCTCACGGGCACCATCCTGGCCTTTGTGGGCATCTTCCTGACGGCCTTCTGCACCACCTTCTGGCAGTACATTTTCTGCCTCTCAGCGGTCTATGGCATTGGCCTGGGTCTGGCCATGGCTGCCACCTCGCTGGCCGTCAACACATACTTCAAGCAGCGGCGTCGTCGTGCCACCGGCTTCTCCTGGACGATCACGGGCCTGGGGCCCATCTTCTTTCCGCATGTGTCCACGTGGCTGTTGGGCTTCTACGGGGCCCAAGGCACCATCCTGATCTACTCGGGCATCGCCATGAATGCCGTACTGTGCGCCTTGACCCTGCAGCCAGTGCTGTGGCATGTGCGCAGGCCAAAGACCAATTCCACCGAGGCACTGGATGCGGCCAAGGACCATCCCGAGCTGTTGGAGGCCAATGGGAATCTGCTGACGCCCGGCAGCGATCCGTGGATCGACTACGAGTGCAAGTACTGTCAGTACCAGAAGCGGGCCAGGCGTGGCATCTTCTCATCGCAGTATCTGTTCAATGTGGACGATCCCGAGCGTCCCGGCTACGAGATCACAGAGCCCGGCACACCCATGCTGGCACGCGCCAACGACGGATGGTTCGGCTCGAAGGTGTCGCTCACCGCCGATCAGAGTGCGGGCGGGGCACGCTATCGCACGCGCAAGGAGCTCATGCGACAGGTGTCCTCGCGCAGCCGCGAGAATCTCGATCACGTGGAGACGGGCCGCATGGACGAGACCCACGAACAGCAGCACCAGCACCAGCAGCAGCAGCAGCAGCAGGCGCTCTTCAAGCCAAACTACTTCAATCGGGAGCGCGAGGATCTGGATCGGTATGCCAGCAAGACGAGCGTCTACTCGAGGCACGGCCAGGAGGAGCTGCTGCGCTGCACCTGCGCCGAGGATAAGGCACTGCTGCAGAAGACCGCCGAGGCCATGCGACTGGAGCAGATGGACGATGATGCCCTCCAGGCGGAGGAGGATGAGGCCAAGAGCCGCATGACATTCTGCCAGAAGGTTAGCAAGTTCTTCGATCTGGATCTGCTGCGCGATTTCACCTTCGTGAATCTGGCCGTCGGCATGAGCATCATGATGTTTGGCGAGATGAACTTCTCGGTGCTGACGCCCTTCATACTCAATAGCTTTGGGTATTCGGACGCAAAGATCTCCCTGGTGATGTCCCTGCTGGCCTGCATGGACATCTCAGTGCGTTTCCTGGCCCCCCTGGCCCTCGAGAAGGTGAAGCTCGACAATCGGGTGCTGTTCGCCTTTGGCATCCTCTGCATTGCCGTCGGCCGTGTGATTGTCGCCTTCACCAGCTCCTACGAGGTGATGATCGGCGTCTTTCTGCTGATCGGTTTCGGCAAGGGTTTCCGCACCATTTTCTCGCCCCTGATCATACCCAGCTACGTGCCGCTCAATCGCTTGCCCGCCGCCTCCGGCCTCCAGCTGATCTTCAACACACTGTTCACCTTTGCCATGGGCCCCATTTTGGGTAGGTCTGCCCGGCTGTTTCCCTCGACAGGACTTTTTCGCTAATTTGTGTGTGTGTATTTTTCAATGTGTATTTTGCAGGCAGCATCACGGAGGCCTTTGGCTATGCCGCCACCATTCATGCCATCAATTTCCTCACCGGCCTGGCACTGCTCCTCTGGCTCACGGAATCGATTGTGCGCCGCGTGCTGAAGCGACCGTCGAAGGGGCTGGGTCAGTGATGTCCGGCCGATAATATACATAAATGTATTTAGGACAGTCGTCTCGTCTCGTCTCGTCTCGTCTTGTCGGAACTGAAACTACTTGCTTGGCCATCCATCAATCCATCCATCGATCCATCGATCCATCAATCCATCGATCCATCTATTACCCAGTGTGTGAGCGAGACGACTCTCGAGGACGACTTCTGGACCTGGAGCTGGACCTGGAACTGGACCTGGCCTTGGCCTTGGGCTTCTCCCTAAATGTTAGCTTAGATCGAGTTTTTTTTTTTGTGTGTGTGTGTGTGTATGTGTGTGTGCATAGTATTACGTAGCACGTTGATTGAGCATACGGCATAGTTGCAGGCCGTACTTACAGATACCTAAGATACAAATACACAAGATACAAGATAAAATATACCTATATACATACATACATATACATATACATATATATATATATACATATATACTATTATATACATTAATTATTGCATAACTAGCTCGTAATTTACCCCTTAAAACTGCAATCCCATCATATCCCACCACCATATCATTTTAATATCATTTTTATTTTTATTTTTTTTTATTTTTTATTTTTGAATTTTTTTTTTTTATTATTTTGTCACTTTTTTTGTTTGTGTGTTTAAAATAAAATAAATATATGTAATCTATAAATTAGACTAAGAACACTGTACTTATCCCGATCTATCATATAATTTGTGTGAAACTGTCCCACACTTTGATCGATAAATTGATAAATTGATAAATATATATAAATGTTAGTTGAGTTACAAAAAAGGAGAATTATCTCTACACTCTCGTCTCTGGTCTCTTGTAAATGGATCTATGAAATTAGCGAAGAAAATTTAACATCTTTAGAATGAATATTATTATTATTTTAATGATTTTTATTGCAGCAAACATTAATTGGAGTGGTTGGTGAAGTTCGCAGCGAGAGCAGCTTCGTGGGGAATGAGAGATTTCTTGGGGGCTGCCTTTGGCTTCTTTAGGTATCGTCCAATTGGATATACAAATGATTTCCATTCTAGTTTTGTGTGTTAATCAGTTCAGGGAATGTTTCCACAGCAAATTAATTGATCGCAAGGAAAGACAGCTGCATAACCTCTTACTGAGCAAACCATTTATTCTTATTATTTGTAGAGAGATTTTTGATGGCTTTGTTCCATGAATTGCAAATGCTATTTTGGCATATATAGAAAGATCATCTGAAGATATTCTTAAACAAGAAATTAATGATGATTTTGTTTGTTGATTGCTTTGTGAGAGCAACAAAATGGGAATCGCTTGCTTAGTAGAAATTCAACAATTCTAGTTATATAAAACCTTGTGTATATATCTTTACACCCACAAACAAATGAATAGTTTTCGGCACAGCAAGATGGCAAATAATATATCCTTAACTTGGTTATCTATTTGGATTTATGCTATGAATGTATGATGCAGATTATACCGGCTATAACAAACATACAAATCCAATCGGTTTGAAGTTTATTAAATGAAAAATCACAAAGTATCTGCGACCGAAGCATAGCAAATGGTCCTTCCGTTCGAAGTTTATGCCATCAAATATTCAAACCAAAAATAAGAGAAAAATATGAAATGTTTGTTCTTTGATGTGACAATTTTTATTTGTAAAAAATGGGGCTTACATTCCGCTTCTTTTGAGCCTAACTCTCTCATTCTCTTCGCGTATGTTTTGTTGCCTTCTCTCCTGTCGATGCCGTACATTTATTTAAGTCTTCAAATTCTTGAAATCTATTGTTAACAGATCTACTCAATGTTTTGCAGCACACTTTTGGGCTCTACCCCTAGCACAGGTGTCAAAGACCAAGGCAGCACGTGGACTGCCTCAGCCGACGAACCAACGAGCGATGGAAATATGCACAATATATGTATGTATGTTGCTATATCAATCGAAACTATAATAAGCTAATTAATCTGTTGCCCATGCCCATATTTTACTGACGCACTGTTTGGCTTCCGGGGCGGGCAACGCAAAGCAAATAATTTTGCGCGCACCTTTACAGTCGGCTGTTAACTAACAGCGGAACTGAAGCAGAGACAGCCGACAGCCGACAGCCTCTTGCACCCAGCCCCCTCCCGCACGGCATACGCTGCTAGTCGACGCGTCGACGTCGTTCGATTGGCGCTAGTCGATCCGATCCGATCCGATCCGATCTTTCCATTGCCGCCCCGTACTACACACTGTACGCCTCTGCCATTGCCAGTGCCTCTGTGCTTTGCTTTGCTGGGTGTTCGGTTCGGTTCGGTTCAGTTCTCAGTTCAGTTCTCAGTTTTAGTTTATTTCAACTCAGCTGACGACGGGGTTCGGCGTCGCGATTAGACGAATATTCCGCCAAATGGGAATTGGTTTTGAATCCGGGCATTCCATACCCATTACTACCGTGGAGATCTATAAATGATACAATACAGAACTCGAGCAGCAAGTGAACCAAGGAGTGGCGCTCTCCCACCCCGCCCCCCACCAAGCCCCAACACCAATACGATTCCCATTCCCAGTCTGGGCAACCTTGAACTTGCTTGGTGCGACAGTTTGTGCATTTTTTTTTTTTTTTCGTGTGTGTTTCAATTAGATGCAGGCCAGGCCAGGCCAGGCACACAGCCATTCAGTCAGTCAGTCAGTCAGTCAGTCAGTCAGTCAGTCAGTCAGTCAATGCGCTGTAACGCGTGTGCCAGAGAGTGTAAAAATATAAATAAAAATAAAAACAACAACCGAGGCGGAGGCGGAGGCGGAGGCAAAGGCTGAGGCTGAGGCAAAAGGTAAAGGCATCAGGCATTTTCATCCGTTGAAAAACCAAAATAAAAACTAAAAATAATCGGCTGCCAATCTGCGCACTAGCCAAGGAGAGGGCGCAAATAATAATAATAATAGTAGAGGATATAGAGGTGAGTGAGTCGAGTGGGGCGGCAGGGGTACACACGTTCATGTCACGCACCTCGCACGGGTTCATCCTCCCCGGCCCTGCTGCTGCTGCTGCTGCTGCTACTGTTGCCTATCAGTGATTCCCTTTCCGGGCAGATGGTGGAAGTTGGGAGGTGGGCATGGACCTTGGCAAAATGTCAATACCCCAACCCCAACACCACCCCCAGGGCTAGCTATCGAGAAGCCACAGCTGGCACAAAAACAAAACCAAAAACCAAAAAACAAAACCAAAACGTTGCCAGCCCCATGTAATGGCAAACGCAATCTTATCATCCCTTATCGATGGATGGATCTATAGTCTATATATGGTAGTAGTAGTAGTAGGGGGGGGGGGGCTTTGCTTATCTGCGATCTGTGCCCATTGTTTGTGCGATCAGTTCGAGCCACAGGCAAAGGAACAATGGAATGCCAGCCAGCATACAATTCGATGCAATCCAAAACATATCCCATCGAATCCATGCAGTTCCAATAGCCATTAAATGTACGATATGCCAAATCAAAAATCAAACACAATAATCCTTAAGGTTTGAATATTTTAATCTGCGGAGATCCCTTTTTTTCAACTGCAACTAAAAGCCAGCTACCAGTTTGATTTGACGTTTCAGTTTCACTTTACCGCCAGGGAGAGTTCGCTTATCGGGCAAAACCTTATCTAATAAAGTTCTCAATTTACTATCATTGGGAATCTGTCAACATGTTGTACCACAGCACAGCGCAGCCCAGCACAGCCCACAGCCCAGCCCACACACACCGCCCTCCCACTGTTTCACAGCACTCGACAGAAGTTGCTTTACTCGCATGTTTTTGATGGTTACATAAATGGAAAACAGCATCAGGCAAATCAATTTAATACGCCTCGAACTCTGACTGATCGTTAATTGCGGCCTCTTTTCAAGTTCTTTTACACGCAACAAATTGTGGGAGTACTCTAAGGTAGGGCAAGTAGCGAGGGAGCCCCACCATCAGCTTGGGCTCTTTTTCTTTTTAGCATTTCAAGCCAATTTTTCCTTGCATCAATCAGATCAGACTTGCTTCCTGACTGGGGCAGCTTCCTGCTTGGCTTTCCTTTTTTGGAATTTTCAGTTAAACTTTACTGATGCCCCCCCCCTCTCTCTCTCTCCTCTGGTAGAGGACAATGATGATGCAAGTGATTCACTCAACCGAAATCTTTAGCTATTTGCGCGCTAAGTTTGGTCAGCGTCTCGGGTCTAGGTCCGCGTCACATGACTACTACTGCTGATAAGAGCCGGCAGAGGAGCAGACTGGAGGGTAGAGTTTTTTTTTTTGGGGGGCTGCCAGCCATGAACCCGGGCTCAGAAAGCCGCTGGCAACGACAAGAAAACAAAAAAAACAAAAAAACCAAAGTCAGAATTCAGAATCCAGCAAGCGTTCAGCGGAGTACGGGCATAAGAAGGGGAGGGTAGGGTAGGGCAGGGTAGGAGAGGAAAGTCGGCTTGGCTAGGCTAGGCTAGGGTAGGGCAGGGTAAGGTAGGGTAGCGTAGGAGAGAGTGACTGCATGCAGTCGGCTTGGCTTGCCGACTCTTCATAAACTTTTCAGGCTAACTGCTAGCTGGCTGGCTGGCTGGCTGGCTGGCTGGCTGGCTGGGGCAGTTAATTGTGGCAAGTGGATCGTTAAAGTGTTTCCTACAAACAAATTGACAATCGACTCGTAAATCATGCACTCGAAGCGACGAAACAATTGTTTTGTACACGCTTCAGTTAATAGTTCCTCATGCCGCAGGGGGTCGACAGATCAACTGATGCTCCTCTCTCTCACTGCCACTCTGACACGGACACGGACACGGACATTGACACCGATACCGATACCGATACCAACAGCGACACTGATCTTTACTCATTTACTCAGTTGCAGTCATGGACACCGCCGAGAAGAAGGTCTACCAGGACACCACACGACCCCTGCCCAGGGCTCGGTACTACAACAGGAACGACAAAAGCGATTTGGGCGATGATTTTGTGGCACCCGATGGCGGCTGGGCGTGGCTGGTGTGCGTTGCCGCTGGCGTTTCCAATGTAGGTAATAGGATAAAGCGCTCTCTGCCCTGCCCCCCACATCGAACTGAAACCGAAATCGAAACCGAAACCGAAACCCCTTTTTGCCCAGCAGCTGTCCATCTATCCGTGTCTGCAGCAGTTTGGCTTTCTGTTCAGGGAGCGACTGGGGGATCTGGGCATGTCCAGCTCACAGATAACGGCCATTATCAATACGAATCCGGCGGTGTCCGCCTGCACGGGTCTGCTCAACGGTCCGATGTTTCGCCGCTTCACCTTCCGCCAGGTGGCCATGGCCGGCTCCCTGCTCATCTCCGGCGGCATTGTGCTGACGGCCTTCTGTGAGACATTCGTCGGCTATATGGTGGCCTATGCCCTGCTCTTTGGTGAGTCTCATGCACCTCCTTTAGCTGCCTCTTTTACACAGCAACTCTTCTCTCTGTCTGTAGGCTTTGGCATGGGCATCAGTGTTTCGGCTTCGTCGCTGGCCATCAACACGTACTTCCAGCAGAAGCGACGCAAGGCCGCTGGCTTCTCGTGGACCATCACGGGTCTGGGGCCCATCTTTCTGCCCTATCTGGTCACCTTCCTGCTGACCGTCTATGGGGTGCTGGGCACCGTGCTGCTCTTTGCCGCCATTTCGCTGCATTCGTTTGTCAGTGCGATGATCTATCAGCCGGTGCGCTACCATGTGAGGAGGGGCAGCGCCACGCAGCCGGACCCCGAGCCGGAGCAGCTGGTGGAGCAGCAGCTGCAGCTGCCGACGGAGGCGCTGTGTGCCCACTGTGCCTGGCAGCAGAAGCGCGAGCCGGGTGGCATCTTCTCCAGCCAGTATCTGTGGCAGGACGACGATGCCCAGCGGCCGGGCTACGAGATCTGTGAGCCGGGCACGCCCATGCTGTCGCGGGCCAATGACGGCTGGTTTGGGTCGCGACCCTCACTGACCTCGGGACGGCTGCGCTTTCGCACGGTGTCCAGCTCCAAGGATCTGGAGCAGACGCAGCGGCTGCACTGTCCCATCAGCGAGGAGCAGCAGCAGGAGAGCGAGGAGTTCCTCAGGCCCAATAACTTTCGGCGGGAGCGCGTCGAGTCCAATCTGGAGGCGAAGCTGTGCTGCCGATGCGCCGAGCATCGGGCCATTGCCCGGGAGGACAACAACAACGGCAGGGATGCGGCAGCGGTGGAGCAGCCCGCCGGGGATATCAGCTTCCTGCAGAAGGTCGTGACCTTCTTCGATCTGGACCTGCTGCGCGATTTCACGTTCGTGAATCTGGTCGCTGGGCTGACGATCATCAACTTTGGGGAGCTGAACTTCTCCATCCTGACGCCGTTCATCCTGCTGGACTTTGGCTTCGAGACGCCACAGATCACGCTGGCCATGTCGCTGCTGGCCGGCCTGGACATCACCATGCGCTTCCTGGTGCCCTTCATCACCGAGAAGATACCGTGGGACAATCGGGTGTTCTTCCTCATCGGCGTCGTTGGCATCGCCCTCGGCCGCACGGTGGTCGCCTGCACGCGCTCCTACACACTGATCCTCTGCAGCTTCGTGTGGATCGGGCTGTGCAAGGGCGTGCGCACCATTTTCTGGCCCCTCATCATACCCGGCTACGTGCCGCTGAATCGCCTGCCCGGCGCCTCGGGCCTCCAGCTGCTCATCTCGGGCCTCTTTACACTCATCTGCGGACCCTTTGTCGGTGAGTCCAATCGAATCGCGTCGAGTCTCTCATCTCCCATCGAGCCTAAGCTTTGTTTGGTTTTTCCACCAGGTCTTGTGCGGGATCGCTTCGACTATTCGGTGACCCTGCATTGTCTCAATATGATGACCTTTGTGGCTGCCGCCTCCTGGACCCTGGAGGCGCTCATTCGCCGCCATCGGCGTAAGCAGCGACTGGATGATAGCTGATCGAGCATCGATCATCGCTCATCGCTCACGCTAATCGCTAATCGATCGGTGCCTAAGTTAGTTACCTTCTCTTTTTTTTGCTATCTCTAAGTTAATGCTTTGTAATAGATTATTAAGCATCAAGTACAAGCCATGGTCTATCTATACGCCATTTGTTCCTATGTTTATTTACCTTTTTGCTTCAGTAATTCCCACAGCTTGGAGGAAATTCCAGTTTGTACCTTTACTTACTTCCACAGAGAAATTTCTGCCATATTTCGTTCGAAAATATCCTTTTTCCAGTTATATTTCAATTGCGGCATCAAAAAAAGAAACGTAGAATTTTACATGTCACATCTACATGCATGCTACATGTGCAAGGCTTGACGGAAAAGTGTAGCCTGCTTTCAGGCTGCAAACTTTTTGCAAATTCCCCATTAAAATCTGAATTTGATCAAAATGTGCTAGACATAAACAGAAATTTGATTTAAATATTACCACCCAATTAACCAAAGTATTTTAAACAAAAAAACAAAAACCATTAAGCTCTTGATAATATTTTATTTTTATTCAATCATTCTTACAAATTAAAGTGTACATTAAAGTGACTTTGCCTATCGTTCGATTCTTCTTTTCAATCATTTCTCCTGCATGTTGAACAATTGTTTGCATTCGAAACGGTTATCTACATCAGGACTTTCGATTGATTCGATTTACATACATATAGAGATAAGATACATAAACATATACATACATATAGCAGATATACTTATACAAAGAACTAAAACTACTAGCAAAAAGAAAGGCCCACATAGCAAACAAAAAAAATAAAAAAAATTAGTGGAGTATATCTTTTCTAAGGGGAAGGGGGCGCGGTGTGTATCATCCATCATCTTCGCCATCCCATACAATCAATGCTGCTCATGCATAAACTGCTTGCAGTACTCTGTACTGCTTGGAGTACTTCTCGTTCCATGCACTCCTTGAGTACTTCTCTTTCCATGCACTGCTTGGTGTACTTCTCGTTCCATGCACTGCTTGAAGTACTTCTCATTCCATGTACTTCTTCAATCCTTTTTCCTTCTCTTTAATCCTCTCTTGTATCCATCCTCCTCTCTCTCTCTCTCTCTATGCGTTTATAAAGCTACCAAATGCAAAAATACTCTAACTTGGATCTCTAGCGGGGCTGCATTCTCTTATCAAATAGCACTCCCAAAGACTTTGCTCTAAATCTAAGTTTGATGTGGACGCGACGCCTCCTTGGGGTGTTCTCTCTCTTTTGCTGTTGCTGTTGTTGTTGTTGTTGTTGTTGTGTGGAAATATATTACAATAGATGGGGATGCGGATCCATGATCTCTTTTGGTGAGGGGGTGGGCACGCTCTCTATCTCGGGGAGGGCGACATCGTTGGCTTTGCTGTGGGCCGCTGAAGAGCGGCCGCCGTTGGCGCTGCTGTCACAATCGTGATGACCTGCAGTGTCAGTGTCGGTGTGTGGTGAATTATGGAGTGAGTGAGTGAGTGAGTGAGTGAGTGAGGTGTGTGACGTGTGGTGGAGACAAAACAGAGAGAGAGCTCGAGATTACATGTCTAGACGATGTGAATTGCGATTTACTTTGGAGTTGCCGTCAATAATCTCCACGGGATCTGCGGGCACATACGCGGACAGACCCGTCAGCCCAAAGATATCCGGCGTATAGTTGTGCAGCTGCGATGAGCTGAGGGTGGGCGTGGCCGCCTTCGCTTCGCCAGCTGGAAAAACAAAAAGAAATTCGTTAAGAGTTCTGGAATCTTTTCGCTTCCCTTTCGCATAGCGCCTACCTGTGCCTGGCGTGGGGCGCACCCTGGGGAATCTGGGCGCTGGCGCTGGCGCTGGCGTCTGTTGGTACACCGGACGGGGCGCCGATGCCGCGGCGGACACCGACACCGACACCTCACGATGCCCTTCTGTCGCATGGTAGGCCTGGTGACGCGGCTGTGGCGTCACCACATACACCTTCTCGTTCGTCTGCGGCAGAATGGCCACCCTGGCCTGCTTCCACAGCTCCGTGGGCGCCTGTGTGCTCCGCACATAGAGCGGCGTGACGGCCACCTCCTCGCTGGGCATCATCGTCGTCCTGCCGGTGGTCCTGCCGGTGGTTGTGGTGCTCGGCAGGGGTGTGGTCATGGCAGGGGGTCCGGGTCCTGGTCGTGGTCGTGGTCCTGGTCGCTGCTGTGCCTCGTAGTAGTCCAAGTGCAGTCGATTGTCTTCCAGCGGCTGGAAGCGCCTCAGGCCGCGCTCCCCCAGCAGATGCAGCTGCTCCAGATTGTTAATGGAGGTGGACAGATCCCCGGCACTGGTGGGCAAGGCGGCGGCGGCGGCGGCGCCACCCAACTCGAAGCCGCCGCCGCGTGTCGTCTTCGATTGGCGCGTCAGCTGTTGAGCCGTAGCCGGTGCCGGGGTCGTGGTGGTGGTCGTCAGATACTCCGTGGGAATGTGCTTGGATCTGCCCCGTATGGTGGGCGTGCTGGGGCGATGCGACAACGAGTTGTACTCCTGCTCCGTCCAGCCATCGATGTTGTGCTGCAGCCGGGAAATGTCCACGCCCAGGGGCCGGCGCTTCGTCTCGCGCTCCCGCTTCAGCAGCTCCCGCAGATTCGTGGCCAGAATCTTGGTCAGGTACTTGGTGGTGCGATGCGTGTTGGGCGGCGGTGGGGCCGTCACTGTGGCCGCTGCCAGCTTCGATTCCTGCTGCTCGTGCGGCTCCTCCTCCACGTCGTTGCCGTCGTGGTGCTCCGACTGCTGCTCCTGGACATGCACCCATGGCCGGTCGAAGGGGCGTGGCCGCTGCTTGGTCGTGTAGGGAATTATCACCTGCTGGGGACTGGGCGGCGACATGCCCGCATACTGTCCGCTGGCATCGATGGCCCCGTACGTGGACGTGGGCGTGGGCGCGGCCGGCGTGGGCGTGGGCTTGTACACCTGACTGAGGCGAAAGCTCAGATCCGCGGGATCACGCGTAAAGGGACGCGCTCCTCCAGCCAGCCCCACGCCCAGGGGAGGGGCATGGTTGATGGGCGAGTCGAGCAGCCGCTTGGGTGTCTCCCTGCCACGACTGCCGGCACGATGGGGATGCTGCTGCTGCTGCTGCTGATAGACACCTCGATGATGCACTGCCGCCAGATGGTTGTTCAACTCGAGAAAAGGCGCTGGCGGTGCTGCTGCCTCTGCCTCTGCTGCCTCTGCTGCTCCTCCTGTTGTTGGCTGCTCTGTGGTGCTGTAGACCACTGTGCTGGTCTCCTCGGGCTGGTACTGCTCCGCGTAGAACAGCTGCTGCTCCTGCTCCTGTTGCAGCTGCTGCTGGGAGGATGCCGCCGGATAGTTGTCCGCCGGTGGCAGCTGCTGCGTTGTCGTCTCCGCAAAGTGTCCCAACTCGGTGAGCAGCTGCGAGGCGGGCAGATGCTGGTGCACCGTGCCACTGCTCAGATCCTCCAGCTGGTAGCGCACAGTGCTGATGTCCTGCTGCAGCTGCAGCTGCTGCTGCTGCTGTTGCTGCTGCTCCCGATCCGCCTGCTGCTGCTGCTCCGCGGGCGCGAAGGGTGCGCTGCCGCCCACATCGATGGCATGCGAGGGCACAAAGGTCGCCGGATACTCCACGGAGGTCACAAAGTCCGTCAGCTGATGGCTCTGGACGATCTCAAAGTTGCTGCTGGAACTGGCAATGCTGGGGCTGTACGGACGCGGACTGGGCGCTGGCCGGAACGGCGGCACTGTGCTGGCACGCACCTCCGACGGAGCGGCCACATGCTCTGGCCCGAGCGGCCGGAAGGGCTGCGCATTGTACAGCGGCGGCAGTGCCACGTGGCTGAGCGCTGGCAGCGGCACGGTGATGGGCAGGAAGACACTCTGCCCCGCCGTGGCCGCAGGTGGCGCACGGAATTGCACGGCTCGCTGGCGGTGCTGCGATGCCTGGGCCAGGGGTTGCTGTTGCACCTGCCAGGATTGCAGGACCTGCTGTTGCGGCTGCTGTTGCTGCTGCTGCTGCTGTTGCTGCTGATGCTGTGGATGGGTCTGCTGCTGCTGCTGCTGCTGCTGCCCCACCATTGGCACCCAGGGATACTTGTTGCACAGGCTGCAGGGCTTGCCGGCAGCATCGAAGCTCTGCACGGGCTTGGGGTAGGCGTAGTTGTTGGCGCTGCTGGCGCTCAGCTGCTGGTCGCGCGCCGTCTGTCCGCCCAGCCCAAACCAGCGGGCCACGCGCGTCATAAAGCCCGGCGGCGGCTCCGGCACGGCAGCGACTCCTGTAGCGGCCACCTCCGAGTATCCTGCCGCATGGCTGAGACGCTGCGCTGTGGGCAGCGGCGGCGGCACCAAATGATCCGCCGGCTGTGCCGGCAGTACTGACCTTGAGAGCGTCTGAGCCTGGACCTGGGCCTGGGCCGCCGTCGTGAATGGCAACAGCGCCAGCGCGAGGCTGGCGAGGCCGAGGAACGCCAAGCCTCCTGCAGTGTGGTTCAGTGCCTGCAAACGAGAGAAGAGAGCAGAGGGGTGTAGGGGGGGGGGGGGTGTAAGTCCAATTAGATGTCAAATTTCACTTTCCAAGTCATAAATTCAATGCCAGCGCCGCCGCCAACGCGACTAATTTATAGAGAGCAGTCGGCGGCATTCGATCCGGTTACGGATCCAAGCATAAAAGCAAGAAGCAGTTGATCCGGTTCATTCCTCATTCGTGATGCGATATGCAACATCCCCGCACCACAAAATAAACGTACACCCAGCGGCTGAACTGTGGACGGGGGGGACGGGACCCCACACCACCCACCACCCGCCACCCTTTGATTTTCAAGGAACTTTTAAAATCAGACTAACAGAAGAAGAAGTCGAACCAAGCGAATAAAAAGGAAACTAACATTAATAATAATATATAATAATAATAATAATAATAATAATAATAATAATTAATAATATTAATAATATTAATAATGGTAACATATTTAGTAATAACATTAATAATAATTTTATATTATTATTATTAATGTTATTATATTGTTTAATATTATTAATTATATTATTATTAATATAATAATATCATATAATACTATTATTTATGTTATTATAGTTATTATTCGCTTGGTTTAAATTTTTCTAATATATATAATAATAATATTAATAATAATATATATAATAATAGTATATAATGACATTAGTAATAATAATATAATATATATTATTATAATATTATATTATTATTATAATTATTATAATAAATATGTATTATATTATAATAATTATAATAATAATAATAATTATAATTATAATATTATATTATTATTATTTATATTTTAAAATTAATATTACCATATTATATTTATAATATTATTATTAATGTTATTATAGTTATTATTCGCTTGGTTCAAATTGTTCTAATATATATAATAATAATATTATGTAATATAATAACATTAATAATAATAATGTATATTATAATAATATTAATAATAATATATATAGTAATAATATTATTTGCACTCATTGTTGCAGCTCCAGCTACATGCCCATTGCCCGATGCCTTGGCATCCCCAAACCTCTGTGTGTCTAAAGTCGCTTGGCATTTTCCAATGATTGTCGCCAGGCAAAGAACCCAGTACTAAAAACAAAAAACCCACTGATATGAGATTGTAGGGCTGCGATAATGACATTCAAATTGAGGAGAGACAAGCGTTCCATGAACTGATTACAGCATTGGGGCTTTGGCTGTGTGGCTGTTGCTGTGGACACTCTTGTTTGTCTGAGCTGACTAACCAGTGAAATATTAACAGAGATAAAGTCCCCCACCAAAAACCTGAGACACCGAATGGAACAGCTTTATGGGGCCCCATAAACGCAAAGTTAAGTTACATTTCTGGGCAACAAAAAAACATTATAACAATAATCTTGTAGGCCCAGGCAAAGACCGCAAAAAACCACTTGAGGCGCAGGGCAGGGATGCCTCTTGAGGTTTCTTCAGATTAAAAATAAATAGAAATTAAATTCGATTGTTGTGGCAATGAGTAGACAATGCCATGGACAAACTTCCATAGACCATTCCAATTGAATGTTCGATTGAATGACAATTTCCGATTCACATGCGGTGCGGCATGGCCTGGCTTTCTCTCCCTGCTACTCGGGGCGGGGTCAGCTACTCACCAAATTGCAAATTAGCCAAGGTAAATGGCCATCAGCTACTGACCGCAACGTGTTCCTCATCATCGTCACTCTGCCCATATGCCATATGACGTCTCTCTCTCTGGTTGCTGCTTCCCACAAAAACCAACTAAACAAAATGAGAGAAATATTTTCATCTCCGGCGGAGACTTCCTCTGTGCACCCCATTGCATGGGGTTCATGTGCGCGCCACTCCTCAGGTGCATCTTTTGTGCGACAATTTGCCATTATTTACGGCTGCCCCCCATGGCCATGATATATTGCCAGCTGCATCCCAGCCCCCTGCTGGTCAGCTGTGGGCGTTCACTTCTTGTCAAAGTTCGCAACAAATCAGACAAAGAGCTGCGATCAGGCATGGAGTTCCATGGGAACTGAATCAAAGTGGCTTAAGCAGAAGGCATTTTCATACTTCTAATGGAAAGTTTTAACTCAGGGGCTGGGTTGGGAATATTTAAGCAATTTATTGAGCATTAAAAACACACAAAAAAAAAATAGTTTCTAATGATTAAAAATATTAGAAAAGTGAAATAGAAATTATATGAAAGAAATAATGCAATAATGCAATAATATTAAGAAATCTTTGACACCTAAACTCTAGATGAAAGTAAGACCAAAACGCCCAAAAGAAAACTAAAAGAAATTGCATATCAACATCTCGCACACCCACATCTGGTAGGTGCCACCACCCTCTGGTGGTGCACTCCTGACCCACAGAGAAAGAGAAGTTGCCAGCCCCCTGCGTGGCTATAGGTTTCCCCAGTCACCCAGCGACCTGCCTGGCTGCCTGGCTGCCTGACTGCCTGGCGACTAATTATGTGAAAATTGGCTCTCATTAATGTGAGTTATCAATAAGCAGCCGAAAACACACACACAAAAAGCGAAAAACTAAAATATAATACGAAGAGAGTTAAGAGGCCCCCCAACAATGGGCGTTCACTTTCCCATAATTATTTTTTGTATTTTTTGCAGCTTCTTTCTTTTTTTTATTTATAATATATATATATATTTTTTTTGTTTGTTTTTGTTTTTGGGATGCTGCCATATTTGAAGCTCAAGCAGAAGCTCAACGTAATTCAATTAAGCCTCAACGACGATATCAAAACAAAGGCCAATTCCCAATCCGCGGGGGCCCAAAGCCCCGCACTTCAGTGGCAGGCAGTGGGGCAGGCAGTGGGGCAGGCAGGGAGGCACTTCAGTCAGTCCACATGGCAGGCAGGCAGCAGCAGCAGCAGCAGCAGCTATGGCGATGTCGTTGGGTTGGTAATAAATCGAGGTCGTCGCAATTTGAAAAGAAAGTGAAATTCTGCAAACGGTTTGCAAAGAAGCGAAGAGCAGCTGACGAACGAGGAGAGGAGCCTGGCCGGGCCTGGCCGGGCCGGGCCGGGCCTGGCTCTTAGTCACAGTCGCTGTTGCAGGCGGAGGGAGTCTGGCTGTGGGTCTGGATCTGGTCTGGTCTGGTCTGGTCTGGCTTGCTCTGGGAATAAACTTGTTTTCGTCTTCTTCTCGGTTCGTGTCGATAATAAAAGCAGCTCCAGCAGAGAACAGCAGCAGCAGCAGCAGCCGAAGAGCATCCAGTAGGTACGTACGTCCATTCAACATGCAACCTTGGCTTTGCACTTGAGAATCGCAAACGACTTGGGAGCCACCGACGCCGCCATAAGGTTTGACAAATGAGCACCAGCCAAAAGGGCGGGGGCGGGCAGAAGGGGGCTGGAGAAGTGCACGCGATCCGACAATGTGCTTGGGAATCTTTTTGGGGCCGCAAATAACCAAACCACAATTGTTGTCGACGACCCCATCATCCATGGGTCGCTCGTCATCACATATGAGACACGATGAGCATCTTCTGCCGCCTTTGCCGCCTTTGCCGCCTTTGCCGCCTTTGCCTCTGTGCATCTCTGTGGCTCTGTGGCAAAAGTGAAATTGTCGATAAAAGGCAGGAGGAAACCCAGTAGTGGCTCAAGGGGAGGGCTTGCCGGCGACCGTGGTGGATGTGTGGAAAAGTGCCAGCAGAGAAAAAGAAAGAAAGAAAAAAAAAACTGTCACAGCACGGCACTAGGTTTTCCAAACAACAAAAGCCAAAAGAAATTAATTATGAAAATACATTTCGCACTCATAACGCCAGTGCCAGTGCCTGTGCCTGTGCCAGTGCCTGTGCCTGCGCCTCCGGAGATGTATGGAAATGGTTTGTGGAGAAAACAAAAAAAAAGAAATAAAAAAGCAAAGCAAAGCAAAGCAAAACAAAGTAATGGCAGCCAGCAAAGAAAAATATATATGTATATATCTACAATTTTATGTTGGCTGGAAGTCGTCAGCGGATGGGCGGATGGGCGGATGGGCGGATGAGCGCAGAGGTCTGCAGTTGCAGATGACAGGCTATGCCCCAAAGAAATGCACAATGCCACCCCCCAATGCCACCCATTTTATTGCACACAAATATGCAAAAATATTCATGAGTTTGCCGACTAAAATCAATTGTTTTATTTATGATTTATGCTCATCTGAGGCAGTGGGAGATCATTCACCAACCAAATGTGGGTCATTGGCTTACAAAGATTACTGTGCATCCGTTTGGATTTATTGATGCTTGAACACAGATCAATATGCATTATCATTGGATGAAGTTGAGGCATGGATGAAAGGAGGATCCCCGAACACAGTTTCCCCCCTGCAACTGAACTGCAGAGTGCAACGTTTAATTTTTTATTTTTTTGGTTTGCATAATTTCCGCATAAATAAAAGCCTCTGCCACCCTCTGTCTGGGGCCAGCCCTCTGATCGCACCGGATCCATCACTTTCGCTTCGTTTCAATAATCCCAATCCTAAGAGAATCTTAAGAGCTTTTCCATGTGCCATGTGGACAAATAGTTTTTGCCGCATTTATGGCGGAAATGTCTGTCAGGGAAATGAGATCTGCTATCTGGTATCTGGTAGATACAAGCGACAACAGGTGCGCCATGCGATGCACCTTCTGGGCGACAACTTTTTCCAAATGAGATGGCATTAAGTGCTGCATGCAAAAGAGAGTCCAGTCCAGTCCAGGCCAGGCCAGGCCAGGCCAGTGAATGTGGCACAAGAAATGGCTGCAAGAAATACTCCACTCGATGGACGATGACAATCCATAAACAATATCATCAATACTACCCGTACATATATATATATAAATATGTACATATGTATGTATGTGTTTGTATGCGACCCGTTCTGTGTGACTCAAATATTATGAAAACTTTCGGATTGACTTTTATCGATGTCATGGACTTATCTCTCGTCACCGCCCTCCGCCATCGCCGGCATCGCCGCCATCGCCGCCAGAG